ATGCTCTCTAGTTTTATCCATGTTGTTGCAAATGGCAGGATTTTCTTCTTTTTCATGGCTGAATAATATATCAGTGTGTGTGTGTGTGTGTGTATTTCACTATTTATATTTATATATATACCACAGTTTCTATATCCACTCATCCATCAATGGACACTTAGGTTGTTTCCAGAGTTTAGCTATTATGAATAATGCTGCAATGAACATGGGGGCACAGATATATCTTCAAAATAGTGATTTCCTTTCCTCTGGATATATACCCAGAAGTGAGATTGCTGGATCATATAGCAGTTCTATTCTTAATTTTTTGAGGAACCTCTATACTGTTTTCCATAGTGGCTGAACCAGTTTACATTCCCACCATCAGAGCATGAGGGTTCTCTTTTCTCCATATCCTCACCAACACTTATCTTTTGTCTTCTTGATAAATAGACATCCTTGTTTATTCATTTATGTACCCATTCTTTACTTACCTATTGAACAGATACCATGTGCTGGGTACTGTCTTAGGTGCTCAGAGGACTCTGTGATGGACAAGATAGACAAAATCTCTTCTCTCATGGAATTTCCATTCCAGTGGAGAAGACATATATAGATGGATGGATGGACGGATAGGTAGAGATAGATGGGTATATATGTATATATTATATATATTTATTATATTTTATATATTTAGATATACATTTGTTGTAACATGTATACATGCTATGTATACATAACAATTATATATATTATATCACTGGCAAAGCCAATTTTGTGACTTCCTGTTTCAAAAACAGCCCTATGTAAACACATTCTACCTCTGCCCTTACAACATTTGAACTTTGGGAAAATGCCCACTGTTGATGAGCAAAAAGGGTGCAGAATTATAAAAAATAAAGAAGTAAAGTCCATTAAAAACTGAAATACAAATGCAAGTGTTGTATTTTGCCATTTTTAAAATGTATTATTTTAGAATTGCATCCCTCTTCCTTCCCCTCTCAGAAAAAGGTCCCAGGGTCCCAAGTTGTTGCTGTTGAGTTATTTCTTTTCATCACATGAACACAGATTTATAGAATTCTAAAGGCCCTGATAGGGGCACCTGGCTGGCTCAGTCAGAAGAGCATGTGATTCTTGATGTTGGGGTGATGAGTTTGAGCTCTACATTGGCTATAAAGATTACTTGAATAAATAAAACTTAATAAAAAATAAATAAATATAAAGACCCTGAGAGATCATCTTCTCTCACATTATTTTATAAATAAGGAGAGTTAGGTTGAGAAAGATGAAGCAATTTGCCCAAGATTACAAAAGTAGCTGGAGGCAGAGTTGGACTAGATAACGGTTCTAGGTTTATATCCCCAGGAGAGCACAACAGTGAATAACAATCGATTTTATAATACTAATGAGAAAACACTGGCAGACTCAGCTACATAAAGGGTGACTTTGAGGTTGTAAACAAGAAAACTGAAAAGTCTATTTACAAGTCCTTTTCTTTTTTTTCTTTCCATGCTTCTTTTAAGGAAGGAGTTAGATTTTCCTCACAAAGAAGAAAATGACTTTCTGACATAGTCAGGAAACTGAATCTGAGCTGAAAATTAGGAAAACAAGACACCTGAGGAAAAGAAGCTAAAACAGTACAGTCCCCACTAAACACAGGCCAGCAGACATTTTTCTGAATTCTGCCCTCATAATGATTAAACACTCAACAATTTTCAAGTTAGGTAAGAGGAAATAAACAGATTTCTAAGCAACACATGAGAAAACTTTACTAAAGATCAAAAAGTACAAATTAAAATATCAGGTTATCATTCTTTAAACCTGTAAACACACCAAGAGTGTTTCGAAGAGTAATCCTCAGTGCTTATGAGAGTTGGTAAAATGGGAACACTCATGCATCACTGGCTAGTGGGTGTGTATATCTGTACAATCATTGTGGAAGGCACCTTTTCAGAAAAGTAAACCAGGAGCCCTGAAATGTTCATGCCCCTTTACTCAGAAATACACTTCTACAATTAGTCCTCAAGAGATAATCAGAGACCCAACTAAAGACTTATATGAAAGGATACTCATTGCTGTGTTTGTTATTCATGATGGTAATATATATATAACAAGACTAAACATCCAACAAAAAAACCATGAGTAAATAAAGTATGGTATATCTGTCACATAGATTTTTCTTTTTTTTCTTTTTAATTTTTTTTTTAAGTTTTTTATTTTTAATGATTTTTATTTATTTATTTGACAGAGAGAGAGATAGCGAGAGCAGGAACACAAGCAGGGGGAGTGGGAGAGGGAGAAGCAGGCTTCCCGCGGAGCAGGGAGCCCGATGCGGGGCTCGATCCCAGGACCCTGGGATCATGACCTGAGCCGAAGGCAGATGCTTAACGACTGAGCCACCCAGGCGCCCTATCTGTCACATAGATTTTTCAATGATTGTTAATGATACGGGAGAAAATGTTCACAATATAAAGTTAGATCACAGATTCTCAACTGGGGATTATTCTGCCTACCAACAGACATTCAGCAATGTCTGGAAGACATTTTTGGTTGTCACAGCTTGGAGGAGGAGGTGCTACCGGCATCAGTGGGTAGAGGCCAGGGATGTTGTTAAACATCCTATAATACACAAGCAACCCTCACCCCCAACAACAAAGAATTATCCTGCCCAATGTCAGGGTCCCACAGTTGAGAAACTGAGTCAGATGAATAAAACAGGGCACAATACTATGAACACTGATCTCAGGTTTTAAGAGCAAAAATGAGGATATCACTTGATGTTAAAATTATGGGTTATATTTATTTTCTTCTTTTTACTTTATATTACTAAGTATAGTAATATATACTGTGAACATGTATTATTTGTATAGTAAAGTAAAAAAATTCTAATAATCCTTCAAAAGCTCTCTGCAGCTTCTTGCATCAAATCAAACTCCTCACCTCCACCCTCAGGATCACACATAATTTGGGCCTGCCTGACGTATGGAAACCTTATTCTTCCCTACTTTTCACCAAGAACTCTCCACTTTAATTAGACAAATTTCTCCTGTATCCCTGAACACACACTGCTCATTTGCTCATCTCCTTGATTATCTGTGACACAGAATAACTGCCTCCCTCACAGGATTGTTGAGAGGATCAAATGAAATAAAATGTGCAGAAACATATTATAATTGTCAAGTCCACAAATTTAAGTTTTCACTCTGTTGCCATGCCCACCTTCTCCCCAGCTGAATTAAACTTATCTGTAGCTCAACTCTTAACCCATAAATCTCTTTTTCTAGGAAGTCTGCCCTGACTTCTCTCAAGCTATTTTGGGAAATAGTGAACCCTACAACTTTGCCACCCTAATTAAGAGAAAGGTTGAAGGTGAAGCATAATTTCCCAAAGTATGTTTCCTGGGACACCAATTCTATGAGACATTGTATCAGTCAAGACCATGTCAGGAAACAAATGATACATTCAAATAGGGCAATTTGAGGACATTTTAACAATGGGATATTTATAAACATGAGGACAGAGTACAGGGAAGCCATAGAAAATAGTGCAGGTCCCCATGTCTAGTAATAGCAAGGAGCTGGAACCATCCCTAGGCCCCAAGGGGAAAAGAAGATAGAGGATGGGGTGGTTTACTGAACCCAGAATCAAGAGGAAAAGAATCACAGAGAGAAGGCTCCAGAGCTGGGATTTCTGTCCATAGACACAGCCAACTATAAGTGATCCAGCAGAGTGTGACCCAGGGAATGAATACCCTACCCCAGTCTCCCTCCTCACTCTTTTCAACCTGTGAACAGGCCTCTCTGGCCAAACCAACTGAGAAGTTAAAGGGTGTATTAGTCAGTGTTTTCCAGAAAAACAGAATCTATATTGGGGGAGGGGAGAGAAATTAATTTTAAGAAATTGGTTCATGCAATTGGAGCGGTTAAATATTGTAACCTTGAGCTAGAACTTCTTTGGGAAACCTCAGGTTTTGCCCTTAAGGCCTTCAGCTGATTGGATGAGGCCAATCATTAAGGAGAGTACTCTGCTTTACTTAAAGTATACTGATTATAGATGTTAGTCACAACTACAAAATACCTTCACAGCAATACCTACATTGGTGTTTAATTAAATAAGTGGGTAATAATAGTTCAGCCACAGCTGATGCATAAAACTAACCATGACAGAGGTCCAGAAGGACCTGTTGATGTAGTTTATACAGGCTGGCCTCCCTCGTGAACACATAGCAGAAGAGAGAAAGGTTCAGGGAGGGTGGACCTGGGGGAGCAAAGAGTAAAAAGAAGCTATCCAGCACAGTTTTAATAGCTATATTGTGAGCAAAAGTATTCTGTGGTAAAATAAATTTGAGAAACACTGAGTTAAACAAAGTTAATCTAATTATTTTCCTAATAAAAAGAGGAGGGGAGGCATTCTGAACAGGTGAGGTGGGATATTAAAAGACTCATGGGTTAATAGGAGGGTATAAATGTGCACTCCAAGTGGGAGGTGTAAATGGGCTTGTGTACCTGAAGTAGGATGTTCAGGCAAGGGGGCCATTAAGTGGAGGTGCTTACAGGCTGACGCCTTTAGCATATATAATTAGGAGGTTTAATTTTATTCAAGAGGTAATTTAAAGTTATTCTGGGCTTCTTAGAATGGGAGTGACCTAAACTAAATAAAAGCTGAAGAAAGTATTCATGCTGCTAAGTGTAGGATGCATTAGAATAAAGACAAGAAACTAAGAAGCCAGAAGGGAGGCAGATGATGCACTGTGGAGCTACGATGGCCACTGATTATTATGGGATTACGGTGGGAGTGAAAAGGAAGCAGGACAGTCAGGAAAGTTTCCAGAGGAAAAAATGCTTAGTGGCAGGCTTGAAGTAGAAAGTAAAAGAGGGATATAATTCTAAAGTTGGAAAATAATTACAATGTTATCTCATCATAATTAAAGATCTAGGGAAAATGCCAGGCCTACTTGTGGAAGCATGAGGGAGGCCATGAATTCTGTTTCGAGGCATCTTCGAGCTCTCTGAGTAGACACTATGAGCAAAGCTCACACCTCCCCCCCCCAGTTGAAAAAATTTATGGACAAGAAGTTATCATTGAAATTAGATGGTGGCAGCCATGTCCAAGGAATATTGCAAGGATCCGATCCCTTTATGAATCTCCTGATAGATAAATGTGTGGATATAGCAACTAGGGGACAACAGGACAATACTGGAATGGTGGTATCATGAGGAAATAGTATCATCATACTACAAGGCTTGGCAGGAGTATGAACAATTTCTGTGATCACCAGAAAAATCAACTGCTTCTACGTGCCCCTCTCCACAGCACCTATTTTACTAAATGTAAAAATTGGGTTGTGTACATTTTCATATTAAAATTTTTTGTTAAATAAGCTTTTGTAATAGTAAGAAAAAAAAAGACCAACGATACTCATACAGTCCATCTAATTCCAATCAGCAATCAGTTCTTTCATTCCACACAAAAATTAGAAGCTGCTTAATGTGAGAAGTTGAAATGACCCATTGTGCCACTGGCGAGCTACTTAATAGAATAATTGGGAATGAAATTACAGAAGCTTCTTGAGGAAAAAGCTCAGAAAAGAATAAATTTATAATGGGAAATAATCAGTGTAATTGAAGAAAACCATGAAAGGATGTGTTAATAGATGCAATAAGACAGTGTCTTTCATTACTGTAATCGATGAGGGGTTCCACACTTCAGCAGGCAAAGACTCAGGAACCATGGGAGAAATGCAATGCGTATATTTTTTTCACAAAGTATTAATCTCCCATCCTGGCAACTGAGCCGTTCATGGAAATACATAAAGCTGTGTCCTATTCTCCATCACAGCCCCCAGTGAGGACACAGGTATGAGCCTCACTCTCTCCAACCACCCACCCTGCCACAGTGAACAAGGAAGACCCTGCGAAGAAGGTTCTGACCCAAACCATGGCCCAAAGGAATGGACACTGGTCTTTGAGTTGGATGATTCAGACCCTGGTTCTGCCACTTGACTCTAGCAAACCATTTCACCTTTCTTAACCTGTTTCTTCACCTTTAGAATGTTGGTAAGTTAGAGTGATAACATGATCAAATGAAATAATGTAAATTTAAAAAGTTTATGGAATGAAAATTATAATCCAATCTATGGTATTATTATTACTCATTGGGGTCCTTTTACTATGAGCAGTCACTCCAACTTGGTCCCACGTTGGGTACAAAGGGGCATTTGGAGCTCTAGACTTGGGTGCACTGAGAGCCATGGCAAGGTTCCACCCACAAACGGATTTGCTAGGGTCCCCAGTGAGTGGGAGAAAAGCACCTGTGGCCCAGAACTTGGTCTCCTCCCTTAGTTCCATCTGGTTGCCATGGAACCCCCTAGTCATACTTTCAAGGATACATTTGACCTACCATTTTGAGTGCAAGAGAGACAGAAAAATTGGCTTTAATATAGTCAGAATTAAATACTTCCATTCATTGCTTTTACAGAGTTTTTCTGCCATTTAATAAAGAAGAAAGCAAACTGTAATAATTTTCCCAAAATGTCAGTGAATGAGAAAACATAGGTAATTTCTCCTGTCTCAGAATGGCTTGATCTTGCTTGATAAAATACCATCTCTCCTGAGTAAGAAGTTACTGTTTTCCCAGAGAATGTGGCAGAAAATTCAGAAATGCCAGCTGAAATGACAGTTCACTTTACAGAGGGCCTGAGACTAAAAAGGAATCATTACTTGGGTCCTCCTGCCACATCAGTCATTAAAGACCAGGAGGGATCTAAGACCCAGAAGTTACCAATGAAACTGAAGTAGCGTGTTCAGCAAACCATGTTAGCAATTCCAAGGGTTCTATGAAACTGAGAATGTACGCTTCAAGGACAGTGAATGTGTTAACAACACGATGATAGCTCACATTTACTGTGAAAGGAGAGTTTGGTGGAGGATAAATGTGAGCTATCATTGTGTTGTTAACACATTCACTGTCCTTGACTGAGCACTTACACTGTTGGCTACACACCACACTAAGCTCCTTCCTGGCATCAGCCACTGAATCCTCACAAAAATCTTGTAAAGTTAAGTGCCACTACTGCTTCCATTCTACAAAGGAGGAACCAGAGGTTTAGGGAGTTAAGTAAACAGCATAAGCCCATAAAGAGATTAAGGAACAAAGCCACCATACTGGTATGTGTAGGTATAATAAGAATCCCAAGGTCCAAGCTCCCTGTGCATAAATTCAGGTTGAATACCATCAGTATCTCAAAATTCTTCCATTTAACCCTTTCTACACACACAGACCCTCCAAAGATTCCTCCCACCCCCAAATATTCCTGAAGGTCTTAAAGGATGCCTCTCCTGTGCCCATCCACAGACCAGCTTGTCAGCCACAGTCAGTACCTGGCATCTTCATGGTCCTTTCTCTCTCTTCCAGTTCACGCCATCAATGCCCTTGCTAATGCAGCCACTAGGGAAAGCCTCAATGCTCACACAGCTGATGGACATCTTGGACCATCCTTGATCATGTGTCCCTGTGGTCCTGGAACTGCCAATTTTGAAAATGCCAGAGCAGTCCTGGGCGCCATGGAGAAGTAGCAACTGTGGCTCTCAACCTTTCACAGCGATGCCCATTGTCACCTGGATCCTGAAGCAGCTCATCCAGTGTCTGTTTCTCCCGTTCCTCATGAGAGTTCAAAATTTGGTCTTTCTTTCCTAGTTTTTCCCAGGGCCCATCCCTTTGCCTCAGGCACAAAAGCAAATAACAGGGCATACTATCAAAGTCAATTTATGCTAGGGTGTTCTGCAGAATACCTTTCATAATTCAAACTCCTATAATTCAAGAATAACTTTTTCATAAGACTGCCAAAGAACACTATCACGTAGTTGTGTTTATCAGCTACCACAGCAATAGCATAAATAGTTTCCAATTCACTCAGTCCACCAGCTTTAAATATATGTGATTATTGATTTTTGGAGGAGGTTGACACTATTTCAACTTTTGTTCCAGCAATGAGACTTTGTAAGCATATTTGTATCATATTACTTCATATTTATATAATCCAAATTCATATAAGGCTATGTTAATATATGGACACTTCAACCCTTCCCAACCCACCCCCCCACCCCCCCACCCCCGCCTTTCCCAAACAAGAAGAAATCTTAACTTGAGAGTTAAATGCCAAGTCTTTCCTCTGGTGTGTGGAATGTGGGTAGTGAAATGATTCTCAGAGAAATAAAAACAGATTACCCACCCCAGAGGCCCAAATGTAGCATGGAGGGGCAGATGCAGGGACTGCTCCTTTGAGGAAGGTTTCACTGTGCATGAACAACACAGGGATAGAAAAGAGGAAGTGAATGAGGGACTATCACAGTGGTGAAAGGAGAGTTTGGTGGAGGATAAAATCGGGATTTTTTTGCTATATACTTGAGCAGGGATGCATAGTCAAGAGACAGAAGAGCCATGCATTTTGGTTTCAGGGAAGTTTTCAAAGACTAAAGACAAACTAGGAAAAGAGCATTTTATATTTTTATAAGCCACTTCCAGAAACAGAGTTCTTAGGAATGCTGTGGCAGAGCATACTAGAAAGATTGAGAACAATAAAGATGTCTAAAGAAGATGCTTTTTAAGCTTTGTTGGCACTAAGAATGTCCTCTCCTGTTGGCATTTTTTTTTTTTCAAGAGACGAGTACAGATGAATTACCGTCAGTTATGCTTTTCTGCCACAATGCTATTTTTTTAAAAGCAACACTGCTCAGAGACTGGGCCATAATGGAGTCCCAATTGTATTCAGGTTAATATAAAGTTATAAAGAACTCCCTCTTTTCAGGAAAAATCAATGGCCTTCAGGCATTATCACACGTATAAATAGATACCAGGTAAGTTCACCAACCTCTGAATCTTAGTTTGGTCTTAACTGGGACATATGCCCCAAATGTTGAGTGCTATCTAGAATCAGAGCTATCCTCTTTCACACCAATGGGTGTGTTTAAGATACTTAGACCCATTCAAATACTCTGGATTTTCCCCAGCAAATGCTGGCAAGAGATTTGTGCTTTCTGGGTAGTTTTAGATATGTATATCTTCATATCCTTTTTTTCTTTTATTCTCTTTAGGTCACAGTCAAATTTTATAGGTCTTAATCCACTCTACTGATAAATCCATCCCATCCTTCCCATTTAAAATAGGACAAAAATGGGGCACCTGGGTGGCTCAGTCAGTCCAACTCTTGGTTTCAGCTCAGGTCAGGATCTCAGGGTCTTGGGATCAAGTTCTGCGTCAGGCTCCACACTCAGCACAGAGTCTGCTTGAGATGCTCTCTCTCCCTCTCCCTTTGTCCCTCCCCGCCAAACTGCTGTCTCCCTCTCTCTCTCTGTCTCTCAAATTTTATTTATTTATTTGACACAAGCAGGCAGAGTGGCGGGCAGAGGCAGAGGGAGAAGCAGGCTCCCTGCTCCGCGGGGCAGGGAGCCCAACATGGAGCTCGATCCCAGGACCCTGGAAGCATGACCTGAACCGAAGGCAGACGCTTAACTGACTGAGCCACCCAGGCGCCCCTCAAATAAATAAATCTTTTAAAAAATAAATAAAATAGAATAGGATAAAAATGATCTCATATTGATTTTTATTGACTCATCTCATATTCACTATTGACTAAAAATCATCTCCTATAAGTTAACTATGCTGGGTAACCAAACACCCCAGAACCCAATGGTTTAAAACAACTGCCATTTATTTAGCTCATGATCTGGGGAGTTGGCTGGTTGTTCTGATTGGGGCTAGTTCAGTCAATTCCTGCTGGACTTTTGCGTGCATGGGGAGTCAGCTGGCAGACAGCTGGTGGCTCGATGATCTAAGGTGGTCTCACTCATATGTTTGGCAGGTGGCAGGCTAGAATGACATGTCTCTCATCATCCAGCAAGATTGCCTGGGTTCCTTCACATAGTGGGTCACAGGGTCCCAAGATAAACAAAAGCAGAAGCCACAAGACCTCTTGATCCATAGGTTTGGAACTCACTTGGTGTCACTTCTACCACTGTCCATTTGTCAAAGCAAATCCCAAGGCCAGCCTCGATTTCAAGGATAGGGAAACAGACTCCATCTGTTGATGGGAGAAGCTGAAAAGTACTGAGGCCATTTTTTGCAATCCGTTCTACTATGAACATATATGAATTCACTGCCCCCTAACCCAGAGAAAGATACTCATAACTGAGAATTCATGCACTCCTCCTGCCATTTA